TATAGTCTATTTATATGAAAGTCAAGTACAGAGAAAAGCCTATTGATGACGCGTAACTCAGAATGGTGGCTACCCGTGAGGGTGGTATTGAGGATGACAGGAATGGGCAGTGGGCTCTGGATAGGGGGTACACATATGTATGCACATGTTACAAAGCCATATCTTTAACACATGATGTATCCACTTTGCACATTTTATTGCCTATGTTTTAAGTCTGGATTGAAACTTTTTTAAAAGGGAAAAACTTTTCAAGGTCTATTTTTGGTAAATATTTGGCCCATCTGAAATTAGTGTCCTCTCTCAGACACTAATCCTCTCTCTGGTATTTCCCTTTCAAGGTGTATGTTCCCTGAGGGAAATTTGTACCTCCTAATGGTGCTGTGGGAAGACGAGTCCTGCAGTCCCTCTCATCCCATTGGTCATGGGGAGTCTGAGCTGGGGTCCAGCGACCCTAAGACAAAGTGTTTCCTTTGTCTCCATTTTCTAAAAGAGGAAACTAAGTCAAAGAGATAGAAGTCAACTATTTTGGCCAAACTCACAAAGCTAAAAAATAAAAAATCAAACTTACGGCTCCAGAGCCTGTACTTGTCACAGCAAACAGGGCTTCCCATTGGGCTGGCTCCTGCCTGTCTTCCAATTAGTGCCTATTCCCAGCATCATCGTCTTTGGAATCCAGATCTGGCACTGTTGGAAAGAACCTAGAAATAAGACCACAGAAGCTATAGAGGCCCAGCATGAGCAGCATGAAGAAACAGATGAAGCAGTCATCCAAAGGCACAGGGCAGGAGAACTAAGGAGTAAGGAATGGGCTGAGTGCATGAAGCTGACTGGTCAGAGACCATTTTTTGAATGCCTGTTTGGAGAGTCAGTTGTGATGATATGAAGGAAAGAGCACACAGGAGCCAAGGGCTTAGAACTTTTGTTTTAGAGAGCAAGAGATTAGTTTGTCACAGTGTGAGGAATTTCAGGGTCCAAGCACTTGTGTAAAGTCAACAGATAGTGTGGGTTTGAAATTTATCCTTGTACCTCTAGTGCTGAAAGTCTTACTTAGAAAATTCCCAAGTTCCAGTTTTTCACTGCCATGTCCCTCAATGGTACCATGTCCCGACTCAGATCTCTCTTAACCTTCCAGACAAGAGCCTGCTTTCTCTTTCTAATTTTAGTTTATCCTCAGTTCAAGTTCTTGTCATTACAAGGAGACTCAAAGCTGCCTTCCCATATTATATATGGTTTATCAGAAAAAATAAATAAAACAAAAAGAAACTAGATCTTCTGTGAAAAAAACACAACCAATATGACCTTTGCCTGTGACCCACCTTCCTCCAAGCTGGCCCCTGAGGGTGGTAGTCACCCTTGAACTTGGAGGTGATAATAGTTCATTATGTTGCTTAGACTTTGTCAAATAGCTGAACCACCATTTGTGTAGGAAGAAACTACATATCCTCTTATTGGTTTATGTTTAATTAAACTATTTATCATAAACTTAATATATTTTAAATATATAATTTCTACCATATTGTAAATATAGACGTTGAAATAATAAGACAGTTTTGTTGCTGTTTAAAATTTTTTAGATCGATGCTAACACTATCTCATCTTAGTATCGACCATCTCCCTTTTTAATAAAATATAAGCAAGTTCTTCCTAAAAGAGAAAAAAGAAAGTTCTTCCTCAACAGTCTGGGATCCACAGAGTTCATTCTGCTCTCTGAATACACTCCTTGCCCCACATTATTCAATTGTAATATTTTTTGTTTAAAAGATATTTTTGATCATCATGTTTTTCTGTACCAAAAGACATGCTTATAAATTCTTTAAGTTTCCTGTGACTTTAAAATTTATATATCTCAATAACCTTTTGGTAAAAAGTAAATAAAAATATTTTTTCTACAAAACATTTTTCCATGTTTTCAAGAAAATAAAAAACAAGAACCTACCTAATCTACAAAATAATAGTTGTATATTGCTTACTAATGCAGGATTATTCTAAGGGCTTCACAGCAACTTTATAAAGTGGGTTCACTATTCCCTCATTTTTATAGATGAGCAAACTGAAGTCTGGCAGAAGTAAGGAATTTGTGCAAGGCCTTGGAGAGTTTAGATTTGAAACCAGAAATTCTAGTTCCCCATCTGAGCTCTTAGCTGACATGCTGTACAGCCTTTCTGTGTCCCTTTCATCTTAAGATGTACCATTAATCAGTTGGAAGTAAATGTGGAACTAGTTTCATTTTTGTCCTTGAAATCATGCAAAATATACGACTGCAACCTAAACCAAGAAACTGGTGAATGAGACTTGTCTCCTCACAAAGAATGGTGTACAAACCTGGGACATGGGTTTCATATCAGTTCTGTTCCAGCAAATTTCTACAAATCCTGATATTCTGCAGTAGGCAGACAGACTGATAAGGTGGGCCATTGGTTCTTGCCCAGGTTAGCATAGGCACTGCCACCTGTGTTACTGGTCGCAGATGTTACCTTGGCCCAACTTTCACAGCAGGCTTCTGCAGGAGGGGTGCATTCTTTGACACAGTGGGAGAGAAGAGTTTGTTAAGCAGTAATTTTATTACTCCTGTACCTCACTCTTCAATATGTCTGACTATATAACATCTGAACATGTACCAAAATTACTGGTTTATTACACACCATTTAGCCCCTAATAGGAATTTATATGAGGTGAACAAAAGCATAAAGCCCTCCTCTAGGTTTATGAAGCCTATAGTAGAAGAAATTTTTGAGGTATGCCTTCATTTGCTCTATAATAATAGGGGGCCAGAAAGAAAAGGTGGGTGGCTTGTAAAGGGGAGTTAGAAAAACATACGTAGCCTGACGCTCCAACCAAAGAGATCTCCTCAGACAGATCAGTTTTAGGCAAGTATGTATATGGAAGTTGAAGATCTAGAAAATGATTCCTGTAAAACATCCCACACCTACATAATAGCCTTTAGAAAGTCTTTGTGCACCTCCAAGAGCATGGGACAGACCCGTTCGAAGATCAATGTACTGGATCAACAGCAAAAGCACAGGTCTGGGAGGGCAGTGCCTCACCTGTCCACTTTCCAGACTTCTGCTCTGTGAACTGGGGCTTCATCAGATTAAAATGTCTGTGTTCATGGGAGTGTATCCCATGACAAAAGTTGGGTAATGATGCTTTCTAACTCTATAAACATACTTCAGGTTCTGGGAGTAGTGAGATATTCATAATATAACTAGTGAATTAATCACAAGATAGTTTGCTCACCATGGTTTCCTCCCTTCTTCCTCTATTACCAAGTGCCCATTGCTTTGTGGCATTTGTTGTTTATCTTTAGCAACCAAAATTTTTATTTACACAGTTTTTATAATGCCTGGTGATAATATTGTAATAGCTTTATTGAGATATAATTACATGCCATATAGTTCACCTGTCTGAAATAGTTGTCAGTCAAAGGTTTTTAGTGTACCTACAGAATTGTAGTTAGTGAACACTTTAAATCTGTGGGCTCAACTCTTTCTTTATTATTCTTTTATTCCTCTCATCTATTTCCTCCTTTTTACTCTGTTTTGAACCTATTACTCGCATGTTGGTCTTCCTGAGTCTGTTCTCCAGTGTCTTCCACTTTCCAGAGGTTCTCATCTCCGTAGTTTGTGTCTAATTAAGCTATTTTTTTTCCCACTTGCTCATCCAGGTTACTAATGTTATTTTCAACAGTGGCCAGACTTTTTCAGCTCATCAATACAATTTTAAATGTGAAAAATCATGTTTTACAATGTTTAATTACCTAGATGGATTGTCTTGCCTTATCTTAGTTATTTTCACATCTTTCACATTATTCTTTCCATAGTTCACACTAGTGGGCAGCACCTTGTCAGGGGGTTCAGCTCAGCTTTTCCTTCTGGTTGCTGGACCCCTTTTGGTGAGGTGATGATGATTAGCCTGCCTGTGGCTTAGCATGGCCTCATTAATTAGGTTCAACCATTTGGATTTGAGAAACCCAGTGAGTGTTGGAAGGCAAAGCAGTTTCCATTGTTGTGAGTTGGGGTGAAGCCACCAGCAAACTGCTAATTCTCTCCTGAGGGCTCTGTCCCAGGTGGAGCAATCTCCATGCCTCATGGAACCTAGAGCAACTTGACTTTCCACAGCAGCTCCCTGTGTTCTCCAAGACCTGTAGGGTCAGGTAGCCGGGTCCCCTGCATCCATGAAAGGGATATGTGCAGCCCTTCAAGGAGGGAACTTCATGAGTCTCTTAAAAGGTCAGACCTTAGCCAGAAAAGTTCAGGCCAGAAAGACCTTGCCTGGTAAAACAGTAAGTGCTTCCTCTCTCTTCCAAAGGGCGTACTCTAAGAGAAACATGCCAACTAGCATCTTCATTCTGACAAGTAGCCCAGGTCTGGAGCAAATGTAAATGCCTTGCACACTGTGATGTGGAGTGAACACACTCGGCCCTCAGCACACTGTACCCCTCCACCTCGTCATGCTCTGGGAGCTCTGTGTACTACACATGACCTCTGTTCCACAGGCTTGTTCAGTGCACCCCTGGAATCCTGGCCCAGGCCCTCCCTTCTCATTTCTCCCAAGTCATTCCCTTGTGAGCCTCAGTGAGTCTCAGGGGTCCTGGGCAAGAGTCCTACTTGGGACAAGAAGAATTAGAAAATGGGGACACATGAGTGAGGTCTCTGGATTTTGCTGTGGAGATTTTGAATGGCAGGTGCTTTACAGCATGGGGATTGTCTCATATAACTGGGAAATTCATGTTGGTACAGTAGACACCCACTTATGTGTACACACAGCTTCTCTCTGTCATTTATTTTGGATGTGTTTATTTCTTAGCTAAATGACCAATAGCATCTCTTCTTTCCAATGTCTGGTAAAAGCAACAGAGAGGGAGAAAGTATCTCTCCTAGGCTGTCACAGATCCAAAGCGGGGAGGGAACTCCTGGGGACAAATGAAAGGACAATTAGATCTCTAGTCCCCCAAGTTAGCTTCCCCCTTGAAGAATGTGGCACTATGGCTTCAGCCCAGCTCAGGGTCCGTTGTATTTCCCTCTCACCTCCATGGTTACTGAGGATACTGGGTTCCTCCAGAATCAGTTAGAGCTATACCTAGGCCTATGGTGGATTCCATGACTCTCTCCAGGGCCCAGGCCAAGATGGGGGCCATGGGGGTGGTAGACAGCTGTGTCAAAGACATCTCTCAGGGTCAGGGAGTTTCTCTAGAAAAAGAAAGTGAATATTTTCAAAATCATATGCCCTCTCTGGAATCTTCACCACGGACTTCTTCTGGAAGGTCCCTTCCCCCAAACTATCATTGTTATCTTGTACTTCTTCCTCCAGACTTTTTCCTTTTTTTGGCCCCTTCACACTTAAGTCAATAGTTTATTTGTACACTGATTGACTCCTCTGGCCACAGCATGGTACTTCTCTGTAGTAATTCTCCCTGATCTTCCCTCCCTCCCTACTTACCCCCAGCTTGGCTCCTCTACTATTCATACCAATTTCCTAGGTTCCTGCTACTCCTCCCAGGCACTACCCTACTTATTAAGTACTCACCACACAGAAGAAGAGCCCAGCAAACAATCCCACAGCCACTACAGCCGAGACCAGAGTGATAAGGAAGATTTCCCATGGCTTCAGGGACCCATCTGGCCCCAATTTACTTATAGAAGTTGTAGCACTTGTACTTTTTCTGTTGGGAGTTGTGTGCATTCCACTTGGAGAAGGTGGGCCTGAACCTCCTAAGGTAGCACTGGATCCGGTATTGACAGCTGTGTTGGTCCCCCTGGAAGTCTCACTGGATCCAGTGTTGGAGGCTGTGCTTTTACCACTGGAGGTCACACTGGATCCAGGGTTGGAGGTTGTGCTGGTTCTACTGGAGGTCCCACTGGATCCAGGGTTGGAGGCTGTGCTCCTCCCAGTGGAGGTCACACTGGATCCAGCCTTGGAGGCTGGGCTGGTTTCACCAGAGGTACCACTGGATCCAGTGTTGGTGGTTGTGCTGGTCTCATTGAATGTTGTGCGCGAACCAGGGTTGGCAGACATGATGGTGCTACTGGATGTTGTGCTGGATCCAGTACTAGATTCATTGCAGGTTATACCTGATTATAATGGTAAATGATGACATGTGTGTGTGTGTGTGTGTGTGTGTAGAGAGAGAGAGAGAGACATACAGACAGACAGACATGGAGAGGGACAGAAAGCATATATTCTTACTGTTCAACATTTGGTTAAATTCATTACATAGGTAATTCTACTTAATGCCCACACAGGCCTATGAAATCAATACTCTCATTATCACCTGCTAAGCTAAAGAAATTGAGGATTAGAAATGTTGAGTCTAGCCCAAGATTATAAAACAGGTCAGTAGTTGGAAAGGAATTTAAATCCAGGCTGTTGAACTGGCATTGTTAGCTACCATGCCCTATCACCCTCTCTACCCCGCCCCAACACTGGGGTTACCTGACCTAGTTTCACTGGCAGTAAGCTTATTCCAAAATCTGCTATACAAGATCTAATACAGATAAAAATTCTCATAAAGGACTTGTAGGACCCACCTTAAACTTGTATATACTGATTATTTCATTCTTAAATGCTCCCTTTTGGAAAACATTTCTCAAACTGTTATTCAGAAAACACCTACATTAGGATCACCTGGAGAGCTTGTTGAAAATAAAAATCCCTATACGAACAACCGCAGACTAAATGAGTCAGAGTTTGAGCTGGGACCCAGGTATCTGTCTCTTCTAAAGGGATGAGTTATTCTATTTGCAATAAAGTGCCAGGGGCTCCTGACCACTGTGGCAGAGGTTGGAGAAGAACAGGTTATATGTAACTTAAATGTATAAGCTCTCCCAGGTCTAAGGACCATATCAAGACCCACAGGTATAGGTAGCTTTTTAATGTTCTTGAAGGCTCAGCTGGAGTTAAGGTTGTGCCTATTTTGGCTCCTCACTACCCTGAAACACAAATACACTCAGGTTCCCCACAGCCTGCATTTATCTTGTTGTGGCTCATTTTACTACTAACAGGAACATGGATGCCCACCACCTGACTTTGCATGTGTATATTTTTTCCTTAGTCTTATTTGAAGTAACATAGGATTAGAGTATAACTCTATTTTCAGAAGGTCCTCAATTTTGCAATGGGATGCAATTTGGGGTTAAGATCAGAATCATGCGTAAAACTAAATAGGAAACAGATGCCAAAAGTAGAGGTGCCATGTGAAAGAGAGTATGGATTTGACCTGAAAAGTTTTGGAGAACAGATGAATCAAAATGATAAGAGGGCTCATTTTGGTTCAAAGTGATGAATTCTCTAAGAAGTCATGCTTTCTGGTTGTGCAATAGGAGATGGCCCACAGAGGGTTTGCATATCAGGACTATGGAAACTGAGTGGGAATCAGTTTTGACCCTTAAATCCTATTCTGCTTGGTCTGAGGTTAATTGAGGCTGATGTGGAATTAGGTTAGGAACAGGAGAGAAATTAAGTTTGTAGATTATTAGATGGGTGATATTTTTAAAAAATAATCAACTCCTCTTATTCTTAATATTTAGCACCCACCCCCCAGCCATATATGCAAGTCATACCATTTTATAGAGGCAGAACTGATGTACAGAGAAGTTAAACAGCTCACCCAAAGTACACAGGTAACAAATGGAGCCATAGTTCTTATGCAGACAATCAAAGAACAGTTTTAACACTGTGCTCGGACTGCCTCCCTGGTGATTCATTATTAGACTGAAGTGATTGGAGTATATGATTATGGTCATATGGAAGTGCCTACCACTAGAACTTCTCTAAGTGGTAGACACCACTCCACAACCACTCAAAGGTTCCCAGACCACCACTTTTAAAGAAAATCACTTACCATGTTCTAAAAGTAGGAGATGAAATAATAACCAATACTTAAGGGGAATGCTTCCTTTCTGCATCTCAATCTGTCTCTTGATGGCCAGAAGGCAAGATAGCTGGATCCCAGATGCGGCCAAGACCTAGAAGGCAATGAGTAGTATTCTTGAGTGAGGAGAGTTCAAGGTGATGAGATAAAAGCTGGAGCTGCCAGGAGCTTGGATCTCCTAAGTATGTGTTCTTGGGAAGAGCTGTGAGTTTAGGGGTAGAGTGAGAGATTGGATGCCTGGGCTCCTTAACCTTCTTCCATGCGATGCTCTTGCCTCTTTCTTTATCATGGAAGAGCCACAGGGACCTTTATAGCTTCATATGGTTTGGGAGGAGGTAGAAAGTTGACTTGTTCTTCTGTCAACTATGGGCAGTTAAGAAAACAATACTGAGCCTGGGAAGGAATAGATAGGGGTCAAGAGGAAGGTTAAGAAGGAGGATGACATGATCACAGTAGACAGGGCACTGGGCTGGGTTGCAGCAGGAAGTAGAATGGGACGAGGAGATCAAGGTTGTCAGAGTGGAAGGGACCCACCCTCTGAGGCATGGATGGGGCCAGAAACCTGTTCTACCTCTGTTTCCTGGTCTGGAAGTCCTATGTGCCTGCTTCAGCAAGGAAGAAGCCCTAATGAACTGAGTTAAGGGGGCAAGACCCCACATCTCTCAAGCAAACAGAAATATAAGACTCACACAAAAGCAGTAACAAGAGGTCTGGGCCCCCTGAGTTATGGGTAGAAGGCAGATGGAGCCCTGTGGTGTGCAGTAGGCACTTAACAATGTGCATTGAATGAACAGGGGCAGAGGGATCCAGGGACCAATGAAGCCATCTCTGTGGTCTCTCAGGCATAGGGGCTGAGGGCATGGAGAGAGTGTTGGATGTGCAGAAACAAGCCACCTGAAGGGGCAGTAAAGGGCCCCTTTGTGACCCTCATCCCAGGACTTCACCTCTTGCTGGTTTTCAGAGAAGCCCATTGGAGCTTTTTCACCCTGAGATCCTACAGATGTTCCTTATCATAAGCCTTAATGAAGCATGTCTCAGTAGGGTATATACCTCAGGCCACATTAGGACACTTCAAGTCTTATGGGAGGGAGATCTATAGTCTGAGTCTTCCAGGAGCTTCCTGTTGGGTCTGGACATGGATATAGAAGTAGAAAGCACAGGGTCAGCTAGATGAGCATGATGGAAGAAACCCAAATGAATTGGAGATCTGAGAGTTCGTAGAGAAGATATCTTGTGGCCAGGGCAAGAGGTGTGAACAGATGGGAGTTCCACACATAGTGTGTGACAGAAGTCAGATGCTTCTCAGATTGTTTATTTTTAGGTGAATGGGTACCCCCAACATGTGAGACCTGCTAGAAAGAAGCTGGCAAATGATAGGGGGATAGAGACATGTGGGACCTTGGAATGAGTGAGTCTGAGAGTCAGGAAGGGATGAGGTATGCTGGGAAAGGCTCAGACATGGATGTCCTAGCAGCTGTGTGGGCAGTTCCTGAGGCAGAGGACAAGTGGCTGGTAAGTGACGGATTGGGTCCTGGATTCCCAGCAATCCTAAAAAAACAGTAGCACTCTAAGTAATAAACCTTTTCTCCTCCAGAATTGCTTGGAGGCAGAGATCCTGAAGTCCAGTCCAGATCGCATGTTAGAGGTTATCTTAAAAAAATTTTAACATGCACATTTCTTATAGTCTAGATGCAATTAATATTTTATTCTTCCCCAAAACAACACAAGGACCTTGGCATACTTTCATTCTTATTACCCATCTCCAAACTCATACCCTCAGGTTATGAAGTATGTTAATTCTATCTTGCTTTTTAACTTCATGAGAGATCATTGCTGTCTGCCGATATACCATAAACCAGCACATAGTTGCACAGTTACAGTCAGCTTCAAACGAGACTGAGGAATATCCATGTGCTCAGCTAAAACTTGAGTATTCTGTTGTGAAAGATGGAAAATGGGTTTTGGTGGACAACCATAAAGCTATGACACACATTTAAACCTACTTGCTTGGTATTCTGTATTTAATAATTCCAATACCTTCAGGTTTTGTGGGTCTGATCCTGCTGTTTTGTTTTGTTTCTTGCTGGCTTTCACTCCTGGTGCCTATTTTCATTTGTGATTGAGAGTTATTACTTCGAATGTATTTTTCTTGAGATGTTATCTGTAGAAGTTCCTTGAGGCCTGCAATGAAGGTCTGATCATCCACAGAGAATTTGCATGTTTGGGCCACTCAAGGAGCCTTTTAAATTAAATGATAGGCTTGCGGTCATTTGAATTACCCTTGATTTGGGGCTGCAAACCATATAGATTATTGTGGTTACAGCTATTTCTCAAGACATACTTCCCCTCTTATCCCTTGCCCTGCACCAAGTTCAGAAAGAAGGAATTTTACTTAATTTCCTTAAGGGAGGGGTGGGCTTACTTTCAGTTTGCACTTTGCCTGAAGGTTTCAGATTAATGTGAAATCTGAATCCCCACCTTGGCTGGTGCTACTGAAGCTAAAGTGTGCCAGGTTTGGCCAAAGACGATTTCAGTACTCCCCTTACTTCTTGGGTTCCTAACTTAATTTAGTCTTTAATTTTAGCATTCCTCACTATCCTGCTGATTCATTGATTTGTTTAAGAAAATTTTTAGTCCACCATTTTGAGCTTTTCAGGGCATTTTAAGCCAAGGCTCTTAACCCATTGCAGAGCTTGAAATTTAAGCGCCCATTGGATTGTTTTGAGAAATAAATGATGGTGTATTTAAAGGCACCAGCACAATGTGTGGTGCATAACAAGATGTGATAATAAAGGAAAATGGGAAAAGAAAAAAACATAAAAATATGGTTTCTAAGTGGAAGAAACAGATATTAAGGAGGACAAATCTGCCCAAAGATGAAGGAGATCTGTGAGGCACTGAATAAGTCTAAGATGGTTTTCTGTCTACCCAGTTTGTATAATTGAAGCTAGAAACCTAGACAGGGATTAACTAGACTTACTGTGGTGATCATTTTGCATGTATACAATTATCAAATCATTATGTTTTACACCTGAAACTAATGTAATGTTATATGTCAACTGTACCTCAATTAAAAAAAAAAAAAAAAAAAAGCCCTGGCTGGTATGGTTCAGTGGATTGAGCACAAGCCTGCTCACCAAAGGGT